CTTGAAATCATTTTCAATACATTCACATCTTTCTTTATGTTCTTGTTTTAAATCTTTAATAAATTCCTCATTTGCATGATTTTCATAGAACATATTCAGGTATTTTTCTTTATAATCATGCACACTTTTCTCTATCTAAAAAATCTTCTCTTTCAGTTCCTTATTCTCCTTCTCAAAATAAACTGCCATTTCAGATTAATCAATGAATCTATTGCTACGAAATCAATTCAAAGGAATCAAAAACAAGTAAGCTCAAAAAAATCTGAAAAAATCCAAAACTGATGAGAAATCAGAAAATCAGCAAAAACAGTTAAAAAATCTATAAAACGGTCAAAAACTGTTGAAAACAGTTAAAAACTGTTAAAACAGTCAAAAACAGTTAAAACTGATTAAAAATAGTTTACGTGACACAAATCAGATCAAAATTCTCAAAAACAGTTAAAAACAGATTAAAAATAGTTAAAAAGTGAATCAAAATTAAAATCTAAAAAAAATAAAACTCAAGAATGAAAGATTGTTGGGCCAAAAACAACAAAAAAAAAGAATAAAATGGGCTAAAAGAATATCAAATGAAACACTCAAAACGAATTAGATGGGCTTGGGAACAAAATCAGCCCAAAATGAAACTACTTAGTGCCAAGATAAGTCCGTGTGAGGTTAAACCAAAACGCGACAAAGATGTGCGATATTGATATTGTAATCAAGACAGTAAACAAGAAGTCCGGACAAAGTTGTGTGAGGTGAAGCAACCAATTCTGCTAGCGACTAAGAGTGAACCTGGATAGGTAGGCGAGCTTCAAATCCGAACAAGGTGATCGATAAACTTCAAAACCGGATGGTTTTGTATCCGGATAACACCAAATTTGCTAAACCTATGAGCGATTTAGTTGTGCGATTAAGATTGAAGGTCTGTTGTCTTCGATAAAATATGAACCAGTCTTTGAAATTGCCTAAACCTTGAGCGATTTATCAAATCCGACAACTGTAAAACAGTCAAAATAAGTTTGTGGTCTTCGAATTTAGAAAAGAAAATTGGTGAGGAAGATGAGCAAGAAAAACTAATTAAGCAACTGTTGTTGGTCGATTAACACCAAATCAGACAAAAGTTATGCGATGAACATCAAATTTGGTGAAGCTTTTGTCTGAATACACAATGAAAAACTGGTCAAGTCTGGTAGAACCCTTGACCGAGATATGCCTAAATCGGTTAGGCATATGCGCAATTAAGCCAAAATTGAACCCTTGGTGACCGATTTAAGACAGAATACGAATAACCTGTTAAGCGAAGTAAGTCAAATAGGACAACCTGTTGGACGGTTTAGAATATGAGAAACACAGACCGCTGCCAAGTCTTGAAATCTGGATGAAGAGATGTGCAATGAACCCTTAAATTGGATGAAGGCTTGACCGATTTACCTTGAATCCGGACAAGGAGTTAAACGATGAACATCAATTCCATATGAAGTTGTGTGGAAATACTTGGTCGCTGGCTGAGAGGTGATGAAATCGGACAGTTCAAGAAATCGATTTAGAAAGGAACCTGAGCGATGTAGATGATAAAAAGAACAGTGATATGTGCAATGAAGACAATGACTTAGACAATAAGGCCCAAAACAAAATTTTAGAACCGGTTGGGCCTATGTCCGATGTAGGAGGTTGGATCAAATTCAAAGAAAAATTAAGAACACGAAGAATAAAATGAAGAACACAAAAAAAATTCCATAAAATTTCTTCAGAAAATATGATTAATTCTCATGATTTTGTGCACAATTTGCTTTGATACCAATTGATAGTCCTTAAGTTGATCAATCTTCAATAATCTTGTAAACATCCATGGCAATCTTCATAAACTTGTAAGAACAATATGGAAGGAGATGAGAGAATTTGTCAAACTAGTCAAACTTTATTTCTACGTAATGAATTTTACAATTAAGCTCATACCAATTACACAAAAAACAAATATTATTTATAGGGTCAAACTTGAACCTTCAAAGTCAAAGTCAAACATCATAAGAAAAGTCAAACACGATAACTTATACAATTATAGACAATAGTAACCTTTCAAGACAATACAATTTATACTGAAATTCAGACCTAACAAGTTTGAATTCCATAAAATTTTCTTAAAAAAAATCTTCAAATCAGTGATTTTTTTCTCGTGATTTCTTGCATAACCTGCTCTGATACCAATTGTGAGTCCACAATATGATCAATCTTCATAATATCTTCATACAATCATGGCAATCTTCATAAATATTCAAGAACACTAGAAGGAGACTTGAGAGGAAAAATGAATTTGGTCAAAGCTCTTATAACTCTCAATATGAACGTATTATTACAATGAAAGCTCTCTTACAAAATTACACTAAAGACAAAAGCTTATATAGGGTCAAACTATTAACCCTTCTAGTCAAAGTCAAACCGACTTATAAAGTCAAACACGATATTTATACAATTATAGACAATTATTAACTTTCAAGACGAATACAATTTAACACTGAAATTCAGACCCAATACAACCTCTAAGCATTTATTACAAAGTCAAACTAAAATTCAAAATAAAACAATTAAAGCACAAAGGACTTGAATATAATTTATAATTCTAACAAATGTTTTCATTGAGTTAATGGAATACATTTATGGTGTATCCACTGGTTGTTGTCTTGGCTCGATGGTTGTGATCTTTACTGGAAGTGGGATGAAGATGGAAGTGAGAGAGAGAGAAGGAGAGAGAGAGTCATGTAAATATTGGGGGAGAAAAAGTGGAGATAATAATAAAAAATATAAAATTCTAATTATTAATTAAAATTAAAATTAAAATGTTTAAAATTTATTCCAAAACTACCATTTCCTTAACCGTTGATTAAAAGAAAGTAGGGTCTAAATACATACCTATATGTACAATGACAATTTAATGAAATTAAAAGTTATTCAATATATAGAATTAAAAAAATATTATTTTCAATTTTTATTTTCACTAAAGTGATACCCAATAAGTAATGAGGTGACATCACGAGAATGAGACATTTATTAAATCTTAAAATATGGTGAGTTTGGTTATCTACATTAGTGACAAGATGTGATGATATATTGACAAGAGGAGATGATTTTTTTTGATCAACTCTAATTTTAGGCTAACCTTTAGAAAAATGATATTCAAACTCATTGTAACATTAATAGTGATATTATCATTGGTTTGAGTCCTAAATAATAATAAAATTATTACCAATTTATTCAATGTTTTACATTGTCTCTCATCAATTAGTAACCGATGTACGTTTACTTTTCTATAAAAATATTATTGTTGTCGTGCAAAGCCTGGTGCCAAACATTAGTATTAAAGGAAATCAAAACCATTGCCACATCATCAAAACAAAGTTAATATTCGATTTGGTTTATTGCCATGTCATATAGATTGCCTTTTAATTCAATTTGCAGTTTTGTAAACATTAAGGCTTTATATGGGTTGGACTGGACGGGTTAAAGGCATTTGAATAACGCAACTCAATATTTGTGGTTTGAAAAATCTCAATCCAATCTAATTCAATCAAAACTACAACCTAATCCAACCCAAACCATGTGGATTGATCGTGTTGATACTTTGATATATCATTTTATAATCTAGCTAATCGTTTGTGTTTAAAAAAAAGTAAAATAGAAATAAGAAGATACAAAAAAAGCCAACAACTAAAAAAAATTTGAAGGTTCATACGAATAAGAAAGTAAATTATGGTTAAAATTATAATATAATTTTAAATGTAACTAACTACGAGTTTGTCTAATATTTACTGTACATATACTAATCGGTAACTTTAACAATCATATTAAATTTTATATTTTTTTATCAATTATGTATCGAATACTTAGGTTAATTTTTTTAGGATTTTTCTTGTTGGTTTGGGAAGTTACTAGGGTTGGTGGGGTGCTCAAGTAAACAGGGTTACTTACAAAAATAAACATTAAAAAATAATAAATTACATTTATAGCCTCAACTATTAAAAAAGTTTATAAAATAACTTTAGTTTATCTTGTTAGCACCGTTAGATACATACATCGACTCTTCTACAGTTCTTCAAACTTACAATTTAAAAAACTGAAAATTTAAAGGGTGGGTCCCATCTTTATGCACCAAAGGATACATGGTGCGTAAGAGCCCCACAAATATTTTTTATTTATTTATTTTAAATTTAATTTCGTATTTAATTTTTTTCTTTATCAATTCTTTGAATTTAAATTTTTTCAAGTTATTTAATTTTTTAACTTTATTTAAAAAAATTCAATTAAACTATTTTAAAAAATAAACTTTTTTAAAAAGTAATTAAATTATTCAATTTCTTCCTTCACAATATAATGTTATTAAAGAAAAATTAAAAGTTTAATTACTTTTCCGAAAAGTTTATTTTTTATAAAGGTTTATATTTTTTTTTAAATTAAAAATAAATTGGATCTTTAAATTTTTCTTAAATTTTTTAAGAAAAAATTAAATTTTGAAAAAACAATTTATATTTATAAGAAAAACTAACTATGTAAACAAGAAAAAATTATATTTCTAAGAAAAATTAAATAACTTGAAAAAAATTAAGAATTAAAAAAAAATTAAATTTAAAATAGAGAAAAAAATTAGTGTGGGCCTCTTACACACCAAAGGGTGCACGGTGCGTAAGGGTGGAACCCAACCTTTAATATATTTTTTTTAAATCATAAGTTTGAAGAATTGTAAAAAGTTCTTTGTATGTGACTAACGGTGCTACCAGAGTAACCTAATATTAGTTTTTGAATTTTTTTTTAATTATTGGGTTAAAAGTGTAATTTATTATTTTTAAATGGTTATTTTTGTAAGGACCACCCCTAGAATGACGTTCAAAACCCGTGTAGTTGGATCATGACCGCTTCCTTAGTGAAGCCAGTTTCGTTTAACCATATATACCTCTCACTGCATGTTTCACGCACTCCTCCGATTGTCTGCATTTCTTTCTTTTCTTTTTATCACCTCTCCGTCAATGGCAAAAAACCCACTTCGTGTTCTTGTTACTGGTGCTGCGGGTACACCTTTTTGCCATCAATATTTCTTTATGATGATTGAAAAGAGAGCGATAAATGATCCATATATAGCCTGTTAAATTTCATATCAATTTAACTTAATTTGAATCTTCTATCAATGGTATTTGTTGACGTTATAATATCCTATCTTATCATTGTTAAAATGTACTTTGCTGTTCTGTAATTGATCAAATGTTGCAGTATACACGAGTTTGAGTGATCGGATTTAATCAGCAAACCTAGGGTTTATACGGGTTCATTTGTGCGTCAAGAACTAAGGGTTTTTCTAGGTTTCATTATAAGTAAATTTGAAAAGCATTAATTTCACTATAGATCAAGAACTAGGGTTTAATTATGTGGTTTAAAAAGTTGATTGAATACAACAATACAGATTAGTTTTTGTTTGAACCTTAAAAAAAATGAAAAACTATGAACAATCCGCTAACCATTCATTCACCTGGATCGTATACACACGTGCATACAAGTAATTAGAGCCGTTTTTTGTATTTTATGCATGTTTGCATGTTATACACATGTGCATACCGGACAAATTGCGTTCAAAATACTTATATGCGTATGTGGTTGCTGTGCGGTAACAAAAAAGGAAGGTATATCATGGTATTCCTTAATTTTTTATTATTTTGTTGTTTTATTCTGAACCTGATCCTCTATACATATAAAGGACAAATCGGATATGCACTTGTCCCCATGATCGCTAGAGGAGTAATGTTGGGACCTGAGCAGCCGGTGATCCTTCACATGCTTGATATACCACCTGCAGCAGAAGCATTGAATGGAGTTAAAATGGAGCTGGTGGATGCTGCATTTCCTCTTCTTAAAGGTCTACGGTTTCTACAACTACTTTTGTTTTCAATCTTCATGATCGTTGATGGTCTTGTGTTAATACTCTGCAAATCAACTCACACAGTTTGAAAGGCTCAAACTCATAACATAAAACTTATCTATCCTTATTCACACTATAACAAAATTGGTTTTATAGGATGCATAAAATGTCTAAGGAGCCGTTTACCAAACGCTTACCCAGGTAGGTGCTTACCAAGTCACATTACCTTGCCCGATGAATATGGTAAGGACCAAGAATCTTACCCGGTAAGTGAGGGCGACGACTCTTACCATGGTAAGCGCTTACTGGGTAAATTGTTGCATATAATGTCGTTTTGGTGGACATAAGTCTTACCCAGTAAGTAAGTGGTAGTATTAAATTTTACCGGTAATATCTTACCGGGTAAGTGTTTGGTAAACGGCCCCTAAGCCTCGTTATATAATGTTCTATAGGACTTATTATAGGACCAAACCAAAAAGCGTCATATCTAAAAGTATTACAATAGGTTTATATGATGTCTTTAGACGTTTTAACAAGTTCTTTTTAGAACACATTTTTAAAATAAAGTATTGTATTAGCTATTATACGACACTATTTGAAAAAGTGTCCTATAAATAGATGGGTTATAAGACACGTGTCATAAGTGTCCTGTAAAATAGCTAATAGAACACTTATTTCAAAAGCGTTCTGAAAAAATTGCTAAAACGGTCAAGACGTCATATAAACCTATTGTAACACCTTTAGATAGGAGGACGCTTTATAGTTTGTTTCTGTAAACTTATGTTTTATAAATTATTCTATTAGGACGCTTAGACATTCTAGGCTACCTATAAAGCCAATTCTGTTGTAGTGTCATTATCATCGGGCAAAAGGCCTCTTAAATTTATCGTGTTTCCGACAATGGGATGTAATCTAATGCGATGCTTATTTCAGGAGTCATTGCCAGTACCGATGCTGTCGAGGCATGCACGGACGTCAATGTTGCAGTCATGGTTGGTGGGTTCCCAAGAAAAGAAGGAATGGAAAGAAAAGATGTGATGTCAAAAAATGTCTCAATCTACAAGTCCCAAGCTTCGGCTCTGGAGAAGCATGCTGCTAAAGACTGCAAGGTGATCGTTTCCACTGTTTTACTATTTCGAACAAACTAAATTTGTCTTCTACTAGTATGCTTTCTGGGTTTGTGTTCTCCCTTTGTTTGATGTTCGATTCTGCAAAGAGCTTTGTGGTGACACATTTTTTGTTTTGATACATCAAGGTTTTGGTTGTTGCAAATCCTGCAAACACGAATGCTTTGATCCTGAAGGAATTTGCACCATCTATCACTCAGAAAAATATTACTTGTTTAACGAGGTTGGACCATAACAGGGCCTTAGGACAGATCTCAGAGAGATTAAGTGTTCAAGTATCGGATGTCAAAAATGTTATCATCTGGGGAAACCACTCTTCAACTCAATATCCTGATGTCAATCATGCAACTGTCAAGACTCAAGCCGGAGAGAAGCCTGTTCGTGAGCTCGTGAAGGATGATGAATGGTATGAAATTTATGCTGTAAATACTCATGAAATCACACCAAAAGGATGAATATTTTTAGCTCATTCAGTAATGAGTGCTTTATAATTCGTAGAATATACCCATCTGATGCAAACTCATGACCTTTTAAGTGAATATTCATGAGTGAATCCCTACTACATGTACACACATTTTTACCTGGTCTTTTTAGGTTAAATTCTGCGTTCATTACCACCGTACAACAACGTGGTGCTGCAATCATCAAGGCAAGGAAGTTGTCAAGTGCGTTATCTGCTGCAAGTTCTGCTTGTGACCATATACGTGATTGGGTCTGTGCAACTCCAGAGGTAGGTGGAAATTCTCTATAAACCACTACACGAATTGGCTCTTTTAATGACTTTCGGATTTTGATTTTGTTCTACTTCCTCATATGAATTCTAGGGCTATTGGGTTTCAATGGGTGTGTACTCCGATGGCTCCTACAACATTCCAGCCGGTCTTATCTACTCTTTCCCGGTTACTTGTTGCAATGGCGAATGGACAATAGTTCAAGGTGAGTAGCAGCTAACGTTTCATCGGTTCATTTGTTACCTTCAATAATAAGAAAACATCATTACGATAAAATAATCAAATAAGGAAACATTTAACTCGTTGTTAGACCTTTCAAATAGGATATCATCACTATCTCTCAAAATAAGTGTCTGGTATTTCTTTTGTAGTCTCTTCTAAAATAAGTGTCTACATTTCAAATTAATCACTCGTTCTTTGTACTCTTTTCATTGACGACATTTTGAAAGGGACAGCAGTTGTCAACTATTTATGGATCATAATTCTTGTTTCAGGTCTTAAGATTGATGAGTTCTCGAGGAAGAAGTTAGACTTGACAGCGCAAGAGCTGACCGAGGAGAAGACTTTGGCATACTCGTGTCTATCATAATCTCGTCTTACTGTTTCTGACGCCAGTTGTCCATATTTCTTTCTTTTTCTCAAATAATCAAATTGTCGATTTCTTGAGGAACAGTGATGAAGGAGTTGCTTGTGATCTAGATCTAAATGTTTCCATGGCAGAAATAGCTTACTTGAATCAGATCTTAATTTCAGTTTACTTTTCATAGTAGGATATGTTGACACCCCCTTCCATAAGAATTTCAACAATACCTCTCGACTACTTGGGTATAAAAAATGACCCGCATATATCTTACTAAGTGTATCTAAAATATTAAAGCCTTTTTTAATAAAATAAGTTTGGACTATAAAAAAGGAAAAGAAGTTGTGATTAAAGATCCATGAAAAAACTAGGACCTGATTTTTTCTGTCGTCTGAAATAGCGCTTCTCTCCTGTCTTTCGGTCGCTCACCATCGCTTCTCAAACATTTCACATAGTTTCAAAGTCAATCGCCTCTAACTATTACTGCCATCAATTTATCTCTTGCCGCTCAAGCATTTCGTTGCAAATCACAATACATTACTAAAAAGGAACTTTCAACTACGGACATGTTTGACCAAAGTTTCCGCCATATATCAGTGACAGATCATTACAAATGTTGGAACCCAGATTCTCTTAATTTCCAGAAAACACAGTTCATAAATAATAAGATTGATAAGCAAACAGTGATTCAAAGATGATTAAATGAAATATTCAAAATGTATAAGAACAGTGAAGGGACTTGAATATGTCGAATGCTTTTATTAGATGAAAGTAAAGAACAATCAATCTAAAACGTAATCTCACAATAAAATAGGTATAATATAAGTCGGTACTCTCAGGTAATTTGAACCAGAGAAGGAAGCCTCCTTATATACGCCTAGGTCTAACAACTATGCTATCATTAAGACTTGAATCTCTGAGTTGCCAACTCTGCGTCCTTATCTTTGACTTCCCTTAAAAAGTGGAGCAGCCTAGGTCAAGCCGCCTCAAATCTGTTAGACGCTTGCGAGAATGTCTGGGTTTGCACGCGCGTTCCATGGAGAAGATGACCAGAAGCTCTGCATGTACTATACAGAAGCTCTGCATGTACTATGCAGAGGCTGTGTGTCTTGAAGTTGTAGCTTTGCATCAAGCGCTTATGCTTTTTGGCACATAAGGCTTGATCGTCCACGGTGATTGAGCACGGGCTCTGTATGAATGGAACTTTCACTCTTTGAGTAAGAGCTCTGGTTCTTGACCTCTTCTACATGAGAGCTCTTAGTCTAGGCCGCTTCAATAGACTAAGTCCTATTGACTAGAGTAAGAGACTTCTTACTTATACTTTCACAAGTTGGGGTCTAACAACAAATCAACTTTTTATTGACTTCCTTCACAAATCAACCATCGATCATATTTTTTTTGTTGAATCTAGAAGAAGGTTAAATATAAAGATAACCAACAACCCATGAATGAATGTTGTAGAATCTCACAAACGATTGAATACTGTTTATGCGAAAGCTTACAAGATAGAAAAAAAAAGCTTACAAAAATAAGGTCTAGATGTGGTGGAGTTTGATGAACCTCCTAAGAAGTTCTCGAAACTCCAGCATGTTGTGGATTGACTTTAGGATGATTTTTGCTCTTTATTTTGCTCCAGGGAAGGTATCTCTGCTCCTGACTAAGTTATCTCTGATGTAGCGTAGAGTAGAGTTTGAATACTTGTAGTTCTGGTCATCTCGAAAAAATATCTTCTTTCCTTGTGCATTACGAAATACCACCCCCACCTCTGGTTCCACCAACACAATCCATATAAGTCCCAAAATAATCAATCTTCCATTAAATCTTCAAGAATATCAATGGCATAAATGATTTCATGTAAGAACACTTAGAAGGAGTAGAGAGAGAAAGTCAATGCATCCAATCTTGGTCAAACTTTATAAACGTATACTTATATTACAATAAGGCTCTTTCTCAAAATTACAAGGAAACACCCTTTATATAGGGTCAAACAAGACACAAGGTCAAAGTCAAACTATTCTAAAGAAAAGTCAAACACGATGATTTTTATACAATTATAGACGAAATTAACTTTCAAGATGAATACAATTTTACACTGAATTTCAGTCCTAACATTCTCCCCCTTTGTATTCAGACTTGAAAGAATTTCCGTGCTTTGAGTCTCATTTGAACTTTGTTGCATTAAGCACTCTATGTCTTCTTCAAAACAATCTTCAGCTCGAAATCTTCAGACAATCATTTGTTTGAGAAAGATCTTCTAACATTCTTCCCTCGAATGTAGAACCGCGATGATCTTCTCTTTTGACAATATAGATAAATAATAACGATCTTCAAAATTGAACTTTAACAATTTTTCTCTTCAAAGGCAATCTTTATAAGCAAAACTTGTTGAAAAATTGATCTTCACATTCAACAACTCTCAGAYATYGTAGCATCGGAATAATCTTTTGTAATCATCTCTAGTCACACTCCTTTTGAGTCTTTTGCCATCATTGAAGTTACTCCCCCTTGATCTTTTACATCAAATTCCCCTTATAATGATCGAAATTGGACATTTCATTCATTATTAYATACYCCCCCTTATGATGAAATGAAAATCATTACATCATACACAAGAATGAATGAAATCCTCCGCGAAAGCCGTCAATTCATGAAATTGTAAGTAGATCTTTTCAAATCCATTTGTTTAATATTTTCAGATTAAGGGAATGAGAATGTAACAACCAATTTCAACGTATGAAATTGTTTTCAATCTTATAAAAAGATTGGCCTGTGAGTATAACAGATATACTCAGTACAACGGATGTACTGTATATATGAGACTTTTTGAGGCTCATCTCACCAGGTCTTTCATTCGATCATCGATAGCCTAATAATCACATATCTATGAATGCTTCGGCAAAATAACATATAATTTGAAAAATCTATGTAGTGTAGAAAGATAAAGCAACGTATGCTTCTGTTTAGGCTAAAAAAGATAAACCGTGTGGACTACACAATTTTATCAGACCCAATTCGTGATCAAAAAAGACTTGAAGGGGGAACATATATCCTTCTGATTCAATATCAACTTTATCCGAATGAGAAATTGATAGATGATGAGTTGCGTGCCCCAAGTGTTAATTGAAACACTTATTTGTGGAGAGATAAATAAGTAGCTGGTGGAGTTGTGACAAAAATTGGCATGGGCTTTGCCTTTTTCAATATTAGTCTCGAAAGAATTGAGAACTAATAGATTGTGTGGTATGCCCGGATTTTAGAAGTTTGGAACACGATTCTTATGTTCTTTTAATCCTGACACAACTCTCGTCAATTCTTTTAGCTCACAACAACTACCCCTCTCTTTTTCATTTTAAGCTCTGCACACAAACCCTTTTATATTTAATCTCACTCAGATATGGTTGTCCTCTTGGGTAGGTTTGTCGGTTCTGACATTCCATAGAGGTATTTCTGATACGCACTCAGTCCCTCCTAAAATTTAGCATTATGCATAGTTGATCACAAACAGTTGATCAAAAATTAATATTTCAGATAAAGCACAATGATCAGATAAAAATTGATCAATAAATTTGGCTTTTAAGCACAATCAATAAAGGAATGATGCGACAACGATCAGATTATTCGGTATGCAAAAGAAATGAATGAAGATCTGTAAGTATGAGTTTATAGATTCTGATTAAAAAAAAATGAAATGTATATCAATCAAGAAAAAAAAATTCAGAAAAATCAACAGTTGAATACAAACGAGTGTATTATCACCGAAAATGATTTATATATAAGAGACGTGATAATAATGGTTTGAAGAATAGCTGAAACAGGTATTGGAGTTATGAACAATTAGAAATTACGCAAGTAAAATCTCAGGAAATACCTGTTCAGAAAATGTACTCGTTTCCTTTAAAATAATTATTTACTTCTCGAAAACATTTATTGAACTTCTAGAGTCTCCCCCTAGAAAGTAGATTATAGAAATGTTTCGATTCAGCTAAAAAAAAGGAAACATTTTAAGCACGAGTTCTAAACTGAGTGTTTAGAAACCACACTCGGTAAAGCACGGGTCCTGAACTGAATTGTTCAGAAGCCTTTGTTTGAACAGTATACAACTCTCCCTGAATTAGTGCATCAATGGTATGATATTCTGATCAGCGCAAAATTGACACACCTGCAAAATAAGATCAAACATATTTTGGTACCCAAATGAACTTGGGTTCTTCTTTGTTAGTATCAGGTTGTGGAATATTGTAACTGCTAAACCATCTATTTCTATTTGATATCTTCTTTTTAGTGCTTTTAACAGGTAAATCAGATAAGCAGTAAGAACCATACCAGTCATTATTATACTTGTTAAATGAATTCCAGCTGTTTTCAAACCAGTTGTTCCCATATCCTCTGTTGATCTTCTTGTTAACAAAATCATTAGTTCCACAATTTGAGCATAGAATTCTTCTCTTGCTGAGACTGGTCATTTTATTAGTAGAACTCACAGTGCAAGGAAGAACAATGTTAGTTACAACAGATTTATGAGACACAACTGAATCAGCTTTATTAACCCATACTTGTTTAACCTTTGAAAAATTATTGGGTGATCCAATGACATACCCTTGATAAAACTGATTTGAAGAATGAGACTTGTTCTTAGAAACAGTTGATTTAGCACTGCTTGACTAACTGTTGGATTTAACACTAGAACAGTTATAAAAGCAAGTTTTACACTGAGATTGAGAACCAGTTAAGCTTTCAGCTCTTGAAAAGTCTGATACTTTCTTAAGTAACTGATCTCTCTTATCAGCAACTAAATCATACTTCTTCTTAAGTTCAGTTCTCATGTTCAATTCAGTCACAAGTTCTGTCTCTAGATCAGACAACTTCTTTGAAGTATCCAAAAACTTACCTCTAATTCTTTCTTCAACTTTTCAAACACTTTTCTTTCTTTCTCAAACTTCTTTCTTTCTTCATCTGAACTTCCCTTATCATTTTCCGAAGCAATGTCAAGCCATTTCTTTTTCTCAGTA